CGTGCCCCTGCCCCTCCCCGCCACTGTGCCCACATCTCCCACCCCACCTGCCAGTACCCAGCTCATGCTCCCCAGGCTGGTCCGACATTTCCATCACATACAGCTTCAGGCCCTGGTGGCTCTTCCCGATGCTGTAGACGCGGGTGATGTTGGGGCACTGCTCATTCACTTGCTTCATCAGCTGGGGGGCGGAGTGCACCTCCCATGGTGCAGGGCATGGGAGGATCAGACCCAGGGGTCAGACCACATGTGGCCACAGAAGGACTTCAAAAGCTTGTGGTGGCCCATACAGATGGGGACACCACGGCACAGTACAGGAGTGGGCAGCAGCAGACCAAAAGGAAGGGTCAGAATAAGGGAGGTGCCAGAACAAGGGAAATTGGGGCAGTTTAGGGGTCAACAGGAGGGTGAGATGAGGGTGGACATGAGGGCAATCATAGCCAGTTACGCCCTGGTAGGTGGAGGACCTGAGATGGGCAGATCCTCCCTCCTGGGTCATAGGGGTTACCTTCCTCATGGCTTTATAATCATGATGCCGGAAGTCCAGTGTGTCGGAGGATCCCAGCACAGGGGCCTCAGGGAACAGACCATTAGGATCTGGTAGAGGATGAGTTCCCAATAAAGGGGGAGTTCCCAGTGGAGGGTGCGCCCTGCCCATCCAACCCTTGTCTTACAGCCCACCTGAGACTGGGCAGGCCAGGATCTCTGCCCGGAGGCAGGATGCACCTCCCTGGAGCCAGGTCTGGGGCAGCAGGCGAATGAAACGGGCCACCTGCGGCTCAGGCAGGAGGTTCAGCACTGGTGTCTCTGGGTCCGAATTGGCAGGAAATACCTGGGGGCATCAAGTTCTTTGTAAGAGTGCCTTGAACCCCAGCAGCCAGACTGGCAGAGGGCCCAGGGAAGGAGCTCAGGCCGCTGAGCTCACTGAAAAATCCACCCCGGTAGGCTCAGCTGGAGACTTGCCCACTGTGTCAAACACAGACCGCTGCCCACAGCCTTTGCCAGCAGGCAGCCCTAGGCAGCCACGCTTTCCGTTTTGGTCACAGCTCATTAGACCAATATGGCCATGTGACTCAGGAGCAGCCAATCCTGGAGGTGGCCAGGACCCCACACTGTAGCCTGGGGTAAAAAGGGGTCATTGAGATGGGGAAGCCAGAGCTATGAGGAGGTCAGAAGTGATGCAAGGACCAGGGGCCCATCACCAGAAAGGGTGTTCCAGCAGGAGGCTGCGGCATGGAGTAAGTATTTGGGGAGGATACAGGCATCCAAAGCAGCCTGCCTCCCAAGGCTGTCTGCTGGGTGCCACCCATCCTGACAACAACCCCCTTTCTCCTGGGATGCCCAAGTGGACACCTGTTCCTTGTCCTCAGAGGAGCCCCAGCCCAGCCCAGCACCCTACAGTGGGCCAGGAGCCCAACTCTCAGCATAGAGGGCCCCAGCCACCATGGGACCTCTCACCGCGTCCATCCCACTGCTGCGATTCTTACTCCCCCACCAGGTAAGACTGTCATTGCTGAACTGGACCTTGTATGATGTGACCCAGTCATACCTGGCAGGAAAGATGGGTAGAGATGATGGGTGGCTCCCAGGACTTCCACCCCAGTCCTCCTGAGTCTGCCCATGACTTCCCTGGTCTGGAGATATCCTGCCTCACCTCCAGATGGAGTTCCTGCCCTGTGTGATAATGCCTGAGAAGCGGGTGGGGTGCCTAGTATCCACCTGAAGCCATGGCTCGGCATCCTGCTGCTCGGCACACCAGGCCCCATCAAAAAGATCACCATCCTCCAGGCCTGACTGTGGGCACAGGACATAGTAATCAGAACCAGGTAGGTAGTATGGGGTAAGCCTTAACCGAAGGTGGGAGAGGCAAGTAAGTAGGTCCTAGGGGTTGTTTTGCTGACCTGGATGTTGAGCCGTCCTCGGTGCGGTCCAAGACCAAAGGACTGGCTGCTAGATGCGTCGAGCTGGTTATCTGAAACTCGCAGGGACTCCAGGCCCAAAGGGGGACAGTCTGGGACAGGGACAGAGCAGTAAAATGCGACCAGAGAAAGAGTGGTCAGGGCACATAGGAAGCTGAGCCTAAGCTTGCCAGTGTGTTGGACAGGCTGGGGGCATGTCTATGCCCAGGAGACCAAGAGCTACATTAGTTTGTGCCCCAGAGACTGCAAGTCTGGGCAGGGCCCCTGGAACGGTGGTACCTGGTTCTTGCTTCTCGGGGAGGTCAAGGGTCCTTGCAGGGCTGGTGGTCACTGAAGCCCTGGCAGTCACCGGGGGCCTGGGGGGAGTTAGCTTCTTTCGCTTCTTCATGATGATCTTTTTCTTCTTGATGACTCGAATCCGGACATGCTGTTCTGAGGTCCCTTGGGACCAAGGAGGCAGAGCACCAGGGAGGGAAAGGATGACACGAAACCCCAGATGGAGAGGTCTGCCAGCCCAAGAAAGCCTGCAAGTCCACAACAGGCCCCACCACACATATCCAAGAACCTTGGCATGGACTTAAAGGCCCGTAGGCTGACCCCCAACCTACCTCTCCAGCCACTTCCTTGATTCCTTCACCCCTCTGACGGCTTGGCCCTCACCAATAGAGAGCTACACTGCCACTAGGAACTATCTGCTTACTCTAAAGAGCTGAATTTGGTTTTTTAACTCCTTCTTTGCCTGGCTGTCCCCTTCCCTGTCATCCACCACCTTTGATTTTATTGCCTAATTCCCATTCTTCCTTTGCATCCCAGCCCAGATACACTTCAAGGAGGCTTCCTTAGCTCCAGACTCGGTCTCATGCCCCAAAGCCTCTGTACCACCTCCATCATTATGTTTGCCGTCTGAGCCGAAATGTCCTGTCCTCAAATCCATGTCTGCCCGGGTGCTCAGGCCTTCCAGAGCTGGACCCCTGCCCTGCCTGCCCTCAGTACAAAGCATTCATTGCACAGGGCAGGTGCCAGTAGTTCCCCACCCAGCCTAGCTCCACAGATGCCCCTAGAACATGCTGTACATTTTTGTGTTAGGTGCCCTGTGCCTTTGCACAGACTGTTTCCTTCTTGGTTGCCCTCCTCTTCAGCTCTTCCTAATTCAGAGATACCCTTCAGGATCAGTTCCACTTGCCTCTCCCAAGAAACCCTCCTAGGCTGCCAATCCCCTTGCTTTCCTCCTCTCTTACTCCCACATCTGAAAAGGTGGGAAGTCAGGCAGCCTTACCCCTCCCTTCCCCAGGCAGTGCCGCGTTCCTCCCGGCAGAGAGTTCTTCCCTTCCTCGGTTCCTTCCTTCCAGCCCCTGCCCTCAGTCTTGCTCTGCACCCTCCTCCTTTGTCTGCACCTCTTTCTCCCCCCCTCCTGGCTCTGGCCTCAGTTTCCTCATCTGTGAAAAGGGAAAGTTTGGGGCTGGAAGAGGCAGCATCCAACTGGCTCCTGTCCCAGGACTGCTGACTTGGTTTGGCAGGGAACTGGGGCTGCTGACTCAGCAGCCATTGTACCGGGCAGGGAGTGTGTGTGCGTGGGGAAGGGTCGCCACACAGGCGCTGGGCACGGAGTGTGTGTGGCGTGTGTGGGGTGTGTGTGCGCGTGCTGGGGAGGGGTCGCCACACGGGGGGCGGAGGAGTGGGACAACCGGCCCGCGGAAGAAGCGGGCCGTGGGTCGGAAGCTCACCGTTCTTGTTCCCTGCGGACAGCTCTGCCTGGCTGCTACGCGGGGCCGGGGTCGAGACCGGGGCCTCGGTGGTCGCGGGCGACGCCAGGCCCAGCACCGAGGCGCCGGACGCCCCCAGACTCACCCCGACGGCAGGCGCGAAGGTGGCCAAGGCGAGCAGGAGCCCCCACATGGCTGGGTCCAAAGCGATGACACGCTGGACCCGCGATGGCCGGTGGGTTCGCCTCTTCCTGCTGGGGCTCGGGAGCCCCCCGCCCCTTCCTGCCGCCGCCGCACGCCCCCTGCGGCCTTCGACACGCCCACAGCCCGCTAGTTGGCCTCGGACCCAGGAGCCGAGGGGTAGGCAGGGGAGGGGAGAGGAAGGAAGGGGCGGGGAGGGGCCAGGGCTGCAGCCCAGGGTCTCCTCACCCGCCGACCCTCCCCCTCCCTCTCTGCCCCGCGCCCCAGCCCCCTGCAACTAATTCACCCGCCTCTCTCGGCAAAGACCCTGCACCCTGGATTCCACGTGATCCTCTGCGCCCGTCCCACAGTGGGCACTTACTGTGTACCATGCCCCGTGCCAGGCGCTTTACCCGTGGCCTCTCAGACAAATCACATCTTACAAACTGGTAAACTGAGGCTCAGGGCGGCTAATTGACTTAGCCTAGGTAGCGAAGCCGAGAACTTTGGGGAGGAAACTACAACCCGAGAAGGAAATCTATCCGGTCAGAACGGGGTGGGGGAGGGCTGGATCTCCAGGAATTCTTCTGAAGGACACCCCAGGGGCCCAGCTAGAGGCGGTGCTTCCCACCGCCCCCACCGCGGCGCCCCGCCTCTCCTTCTCTCTTCCTTTCCCCAGCCTCCCCTCCTTTGCTCACCCGGCTGCCACGTTCCGGGGTTACATAACCCGAGCAGAGGCGTCCGAGCCTATGCCCAGCGGGCTGGGGCAGGGGGTGGAGGGCGAGGCTGATGCATGTCTTGCCCTCCCCCGCCTAACTCTCCTCTGGGAGCCGGCAGCCCTGGGTCTGTGTCTTCGGGACCACCTCCGACCCCGGGATTCCAGAGCGCAGGACCCTCCTCCTCCCCCTCCGAGGTCCCCTTTGGCTCCCCCACACCAGGGTCGCCTCCCCAGAAGGAAGGCATTCGTCCACTGTGCGCCTCTGGCCGGGGCTTTGCCCTTGCAAGGATCCCGCCAGGGAGACACTGCCATCCCCAAGTAAGAAGAGATGCCCAGAGGTGGCCGGGAATCCTCCGGAGTGCGCGGGGCCCCTGAGCAAATGTTTTCTGCAAGGTCACTACCCATATGAACAATTTGAATTACACTAAATCAGCGTGTCAGCACCAATCTCGTCGGATCTCACGAAAGGAATATGCGCTCCTGAAACTGAGACCCACCCCCAGTAAGAACGATCTCATAGACTCGAGTCCCGGAGCTCCTCAAGGCATATGGTCCACCCCATGCGCTCTGGGTAGAGAACCCCCGAAAGGGAGTAACTGGGACAGGGCCCCGCGGGTCGTGCTCCCGCCTTAGAGCGCCCCGCCTGGACACCACTGCTGGGTCCCAGTCACCAGAGGAGGATCTAGAAAAATTCAAGGAAGGCATTCCGAAGCGGAGGGTCCCTGAAGCGCCGGGCCGAGTCAGCGGCAGAAAGACGGTACTGCGGCCCTAGGCTTCGCAGAGGTGGGAGGCAGGGAGAGGCTCTGTGGAGCTAGAAGCGGGTCTGTACAAGTCCTGAGGACTGCTCCACCTCCCGCCAAAACCCAGTCTGCCCACTTCCCTGGCCCCACCCTCATCCAAGTTTCACAGAGTGGTGCGAGAGGGTCGGGGCAGAACCTGGCTAGGACAGGTCAGCCTCCTGAGGCTCCCACCTCCTCCAAGCCCTTCCCCACAC